AAACTGGGTAGTCAAGCTGAACTGGCCAAGATATCAAACTGGGTAGGAAAGCTGAACTGGCCAAGATATCAAACCGGGTAGTCAAGTTGAACTGGCCAGACAGCATGATCGAGTGCAACCCATAGTTTAAGTAATAGGTGATCAACAAAGAAACTGACATGGACAGTGGCATGATGCTTGCGAGTAGACTTTTTGACTTCTGCAGAAAACTAAGTTACCGTAAAAACCCGCAAATAAGCGCCACCCTCAATTAAGAGCCACTCAGTGAAAATTTGTTACATTTGACCCTCCATTAAGAGCCACCAAGAGTTGAGTGGTTTTGTCAATACGAACCCTGAAATAAGCGCCAGCCGCCCGGTTGTTTACAATCAGGCAGACACCGAGCATGTCGTGCCTCACTTCCACCCTGCATTGTTTATTGCCCCACAGAAGGTGCGAGACAAATAAAGATTATCCCCATAACTTGCCTGATGTCCTGTGTAATTGAGAACGGAAGAATGATAGGCGAAAGAAATGCACTGAGAGCGTGAATGTGACTGTCAACTTGTCCATTTTATATTTCTGACACACAATCGACCAATTCACAAACTATTCAGTAGTAACTACTAGTATGTTTTTTGCCGAAACACATGTTGAGATATTCATTGTCAATGTTGTCTTTATAACCAAGTAAAGAACGTCACGATTTTAGAACGCCTTTATCAGAAAATTGGAGGTATTCGAAAATACATTCTCACAGACGGACCGGAACAAACTGGGTAGTCAAGTTGAACTGGCCAAGATATCAAACAGGGTAGTCAAGTTGAACTGGCCAAGATATCAAACTGGGTAGTCAAGTTGAACTGGCCAAGATATCAAACTGGGTAGTAAAGTTTTGGAAAAACAAAAGTGATAAAAATTGTTTGTTATTGTAAAAAATACAACGACTTCCCCTTCATACCTCAAATTTGATGTCTAAAATGGCCATTAGTCAGCCATTTTTATTCTGATCATCCAGTAACTTTATGTGCATGAGCAAGAAGCTACCTATTGTCTGTGTGAAAAGTGAATGAGATGTGAACAAGTGTACGAGAACACTCCAGATGGACCGTGGCTGTAATAGTCCCAGTTTTCAGATTGTGATCGAACGAGACATTTTATGCCAACAATAGATATCACTCCTAGCCAGTTTAGGCTTTGTACATGTACAGTTACCTTGAAATGCAAGCATCAAAATCACAAAATGAACATGGGCAAAGTTTTAAAGACAATGATGATCTGTCCCAGCTAGTTTTATTGTGAACATGGATACCGAGATCTTTGGTCATTAAAAATGCCATGTCACGTGTGTTACAAGCTTGAAGTTCCTTGCTTATGCATTTTAGCCAAATACAGAACACTTACTACACTAGACCGACTATGACTTTTGGTCCCGAAAAATGCACCATGGTGTTTCAAGTGATAGGGAACAAGTTTGCAAAGTCTAAAGACATCGACCATTTGCACTCTAGTTGAATACGAAAAAACTTACGGTGACGTTGACCGGAAAATCTGGCAAGGTCTTGTGAATCTCTCAGGAATACGTGTGCCAATTTTTATAGCACTGGCATTTATGCAAAGTTGCAAGTCTGTACCCACTTTGCGCCATACTGCAGATACACTGAATGTCCTTACCTGTGGGGTAGGTCATTCTGGAGGGTTTTTAAAAAAAAATAGAGAAATGAACTGCAATGCCACTAGGAATGGAGGAAGCCATGTCCACTGCAAAGCAAGACAACACACACATTGCAATGGGGGAAGCCATGCCCACTGTTGCATCAGGTTTCACAGAAAAACTGCAAAGCAAAACAACGCACACATTGCAAATGCAATAAAGAGAAATCCTCATATTTTAATGAAATTAAACAAGTCAGTATTCAAACAGTATTAGGGATTGAAATAGGTATTGTCCCATACAATATCTCTGCTGTCAAATACAAAGCAACTCCAGAGCACAGAATGAACATCAAATAAAACAATCTTTTAAATACATAAACTATTTAACCACCCTAAATAAAGCTGGTTTTAAAGTAATTGAATAAGTACTAGCAATAACAGCAGACTGATCACTCCCACATTAGAAGAGTTAATCGCTCCATCAGGTTTCTGCACTCCAGTCTACTTCTGCCCATATAATCAATGCTGTCAAAATATAGTTTGCAACTGGGTAGTGTTGTGTAAAGAATTTCTAAAGATTAACAGAACATTGGGTGAAAGTATACCATAAAATAGCCAGACAATTTTTGTTTTTACAGTCTCAAAAATACAAAATTTGTGTTTCAATGAAACTATGTAATGATGAAGTTCTAAAGTAAGACACACTATCAGTGTATATATATAGCAGGTAGACCTCTCTCACTCCGTCTGTGATGTGTAGAACGTAATGCACAATACATGCACTCATTGTAACGTACACGTTTTCCCTGGAAGTATTAATTTACACAAAAAAATCATGCAACACAGGATTGAATTTCCGTGTGCAATAGTTTTCTGGTGAAACAAGTTTCCTATAGTGATAAAGTAGTACTGCACGCGAAAAAGTGGGAATGAATAAATAACACTTTAAAAGTCAAAAATAATAACCAAATAAATTATGAAGTTCTATTAAGTTTTTTTTCTTCTTAAAACTCTAGCACATATATCTTGTACTTTAGATCTAGTTTCCCAATTAAAGTAAAAATGCAAAGTCGTTAAAGTGATACAAAAACAGAGACCAAAACATTGCACTCAAAATGTAATATAGTTTTGCAGCGAGTTTCAGTTTTTCCCCCAATTTGTCTCAAAAATATTTCAGCCCAGTGCCAGGAGACAAGTTCATTGGCAGGCGATACGAATACAATGCTCTAAAATCCAGTAGGAATCTGAGCAAAGAGCTATTTTACCATACAAGGTAAATTCACCAGATCTAAAGCAGGCAAGATACTATTTTATTTTGGGAGTGAAAACAACATGTTGGACATAGCTGTCCAAGTCTTTTATAAAAATTCAAGGGAGTTTCCATCATAGAACTATCAAAGAGAAAAACCATAGTAGAATGTGAAGAATGTTTACTTTTCAAATTAGCACCAACAATATTCTCATTGATTTTTTTGGAAACGAATATTGGCTTGAGGAAATCTTCCAGCGGTCCTAAAAAAAAAATTGTGTGATCATACTTTTAAAAAAACAGCTCTTGTTTCTATCATCTACCTAAGAGTATGTACAAAGCCTGAGGAATGTTTTTTTTTAAAAAATAAGAAAAGTAATTTGATTGTATTTAACACTGAACACGGAAATCTGTTATCTTGCAAAGCACTTTCACAACTCAAGTTGCTGAATAGAAAAATCCTGCATTATTCAGATCTGCCTTCTCTTTTAATAACAGAAAAGACCTTGGTAAGTTCACACCAAACGTGCAGAACTCTCAGACGAAAAATCTAAAGTTTGGAATTTACTTAATATAATCTGAAAATTCTAGTTATGAGCAGTAATTCTACTCATTTTTTATATCAAAGTTTTAATCTATTCAAAACTTTGAATCTTTTCACTCAGCAAGTGTAATTTTTAATATAGACGTGGCTGCTTTTCTGCTTTATTTGGCATTATTACTAACAATACCCTGTTCATCTTCAGATTAGTAAATTTGGCTTTACACTATGTACATAATACAATAGACAATAGAAACATGATGTGAATAAAACAAAAGAGGAGGCTTGATATATCAATAAATGTTGTGTCCGTGCTATGAGCACACTCACAAATGCATAGAGAACAAAATACTGATATCAAAATGGTTTCATCCAGTTTGTGCGCAGTCATAAAGGGGGTCATTTTTGGCATGACCACCAAAAGTATCCTCATTCACTGATTGATGTACGGAGTTACGAGGATATAACAAAATAAATCAACTATAAGTTTTACTTCAATAAATGACAAAGTTCAGTTTTCCTGTATATGTACAAATATTTACATAGAAAACATTTCTTTTTAAATTTAGAATCTAGATGTAAAATAAAGTATTTTGTTGTTTTCTCATGGAATAATCTAAAATTCAGCAGTTTGTGATTTCTATGCCTGCACAGCGATATGCAAGACGTGTAAGCCCCCTCTTCAGTGGCTTTTCCATCCACTCCTGCGCAACAGAAGTGTATGGATCAGCTACACTGTAGCTATTAATATGGCCACACACTCCCCCATCCAGACTTCCCCAAGTTTTTCACTCTTTGATTCACACACCCTCTCTTCCTCCCCCAAACACTTTAAAATCTACATGTACTCAAAAAGCCAAATGTGGCAACAAAGAAAAAGCAATAAAATACGTAAAATATTACCAAGTATCCACATACAGCCTTTCAACCTCACACATCACCACATTATTGAGCACTCAATCATCAGTTAAATTGGACTTTTACAAAAATAGCTTAGTATGTTTGTACATGGTTCCAGGAATAAAACAGTTCAGGAAACTCTAGAACTTACTAGCAAAATACTTCCAGCTTTTAGGAAAATTGTTATATTGTGCCACGGCAAATGTCCTGATTTGAATGCCCCCCTATACTGGTAAATATATTTCTGTTAAAATATGACCAGATTTTAGTTTCTTCCTCAAATTCTACAACAAAAGACTAGAAAAATGAGTTCATTGCTAATCCAAATAATCTTAGAGACTTGTGTCTGATACTCATTCACAAATCGTACAAAACGAGTCTGTGAACTGTTTATATATTTGCCTTTTAAAACTTAGTTTCTACACAGCACACATTGGAGGAAAGAGCAAGTGTCAATTTCTCCTATAATGTTTTACGACTATAAATTACATTATAAACCCAATAAAAATAACATAACTTGGTTGCCAAGGCAATAGTACCAACCTTCATTTTCTTTCAATTGTTAAAACTTGGAATTTTGAGATAACCAACCACACGTGATATCTCTTCAAACCACTGTAAAATGTCATTAAGATAATTTTAACATCAATTATTACTGAAATGTTCAGCACTGCAACTATAATAATGCTTTAAGACTTAGTAATAAAAGTTCAACGTTTAGTAAATGTTGAATGTTTGTAATATAGGATTACAACTTTTTCATTTTTGCCATCAAGTTTTCAACTTTCATCAACTGCCTTGGGGATACGACAACAATGATTGCATATCAAGTTGGCAGTTCTCAAAGATAGCAGTGAATAAAACCCTACACAAGGTTATTTAACAATATCAACACTACATACACCTAGAAAATTAGAAATACAATGAAAATGTCTGGCTATGGAGTTGTCAAAAAGCTTAACTTCCCCACCAGTCAGTAGATGGGGCTGCTTGAGGCTGGTAATTTCCACCATAACTGTTGCCAGTAAACTGCTGATATCCAGTAAAGGCAGCATTTCCATAAACTGGAGTTCCACTGCCACGACCACGGTTACCTTGACGATAATCACGGGAACCAAATCCACCACTGCCATATCTACTAAGAAATAAATTTGTGTCATACTAAAGGCATAGAATACATTGCCGATATGGTAAAGGCATAGAATACATTGCCGATATGGTAAAGGCATAGAATACATTGCCGATATGGTAAAGGCATAGAATACATTGCCGATATGGTAAAGGCATAGAATACATTGCCGATATGGTAAAGGCACAGACGACACTGCCGATATGGTAAAGGCATAGAATACATTGCCGATATGGTAAAGGCATAGAATACATTGCCGATATGGTAAAGGCATAGAATACATTGCCGATATGGTAAAGGCATAGAATACATTGCCGATATGGTAAAGGCATAGAATACATTGCCAATATGGTAAAGGCATAGAATACATTGCCGATATGGTAAAGGCATAGAATACATTGCCGATATGGTAAAGGCATAGAATACATTGCCGATATGGTAAAGGCATAGAATACATTGCCGATATGGTAAAGGCACAGACGACACTGCCGATATGGTAAAGGCACAGACGACACTGCCGATATGGTAAAGGCACAGACGACATGGTAAAGGCACAGACGACACTGCCGATATAGTAAAAGCATAGACAGCATTGTTGATATTTTTCTGGTGAAAGATGAAAGTCATCTCATAAATGTGCTAATACCTGTTACGTGGAGCACCACGTCTACCACCACCGCTTTGTTTAGCTTCATATGCCATTGACTCTAGCCAGGATGGCACTTCCTGTTTGGTTTCCATGATCAATTCCAACAAGTCACGTACCACATTTCGATTCTTGTCATTAAAGAATGAAGTTGCCAGACCTGTGAAATGAATGAATTCACAATACAGTTACAGTTGTTGTGTGACAGTGCTTTGTAACAGATCACTAAGCCCTTCAACTTTGCTGTCAAACTCAAAAAATAAACAAGCAGTGATTTATACATATAATATTCTGACTGAACCAGTCACAGCACCATTACTAACTATAGTAGAGCTTTATAGACTACAAATTCTTGTCCAAGGGCTACCATTTTCCCACATTGGACAAATAATTGTTTTCTTAATTGATATACTTTACTTCCCCGAGCACAAGCCCCTCCTTGAGTATAAGCACAGGGAGTTGGACAAACTTGTGTATTTTAATAAATTATTAAATAATAAAATATTATACAACTTTTCTTTTACCCCCCTTCCTGGTATCGATTTCAAGTAATCACTGATCTTTGTTTATACCACTCTATCCAATCTTTGTTACGCGCCAATGTTATATGCAAATTTTAACGCGCGATGTGGACACACCCTATATTATAGTAAAATATCCCAAGGGTTGAAACGCGGCAGAACTGGCATAAAATCACACATTCGAACCTTTCAAAATTCAAAATGTGAATGTCAAGTCGTGAAACATGGTCACTTTCGCATTGCGTTGAAAAAATTACTGAAAACTTCGTCTCTACGGACACAGCATTTTGATTGGTTAATGAAATACGTGACCTGTGAGGTCAAAGGAAGTTGCTCAGGTCAAATCATGAACCAGAAAAACACCATGGCAGAAATTGTTTTATATTGAGAGTTTGCATACTAACGAAAACATTCCACAACGAAGATAATGATAAAGATCTTGCCTTTGACCGTTTTCCCACAGACCCTACTCATTTTTACACCGTAAATTCAGAGGGTATGTAAATTGTATTGTAATAAAATGAGTATTTTTACATTTTTGTTTCTTCATTGTATGTAAAAAGTGTTGTGGAAATCAATGACTCTTTTCGCATTTTCCCCCTCTAAAAGACGTAATATTTCTCTGAGACCGGCGCTTTGCACGAAGAATGTAATTTTTTGTGGTTGGGAAGATGGTAATCATTTTAAACCCACCAAAAAATTCTTTTCTGAGGTGGTCCAGAGTATAAGCCCACCCCCTAATTTTCCCGATTTTACATGTTCAGGCCCCTGGGCTTATACTCTGGGAAGTACTTGAGGATAGTCACCCATACCCCCACACAAACTGAGCCATTACATAGTAGCCCCTGCAATGTATCTATAACCAAATGTAGACTCGCCTAAATTTCCGACGCGACCAGTACGACCAATACGATGTACATATTCTTCAATATCACTGGGCATGTCAAAGTTGATAACGTGTTTAACATTGGGAATATCCAGACCACGGGCTGCTACCTAGAGTCATAGTAAAATAATAAAACATTGGTTTTAGCACACATTTTACTGTACAATTTCTTAGCAAATTTTTAGGCACACTATAAATCTGAGATAATGTGATACAAAGGAATCGTTTTACACAATATTCAATGTAGATGAACAAGTTATTGTCATGACACAGTGCCAGTGAAATTGAATGCCAAAGTTGCAATTTCTTTCACTGTGAGCCCTTCAAGCCAAAATGGAATCTTGAATCATGAAATGGATGCATATGCCTCCACTCGTTTTTTCGAGTTGCCAGTCTGAATGAAAGATACCGTTAAAATCCTATTATAAACCGCATACCTAATAGTAACTGCACCCCCGATTTCGGCTTCAGTGTTAAAGAATTCTCAACAAAAATTTAAAACATGAAAAGTACCGATTACTAATCGCACCCTCGATTCAACAAGACCGTGACCGACTTTGTTTCAACGAGCTGGTACATTGTTCCTAATCCTATTCATTTGTTTCGACAACGTGCCTAAAAATATTCACACCTCTTTATTGTTCAGTAGTGTTAGAATGTCAAACACGCAGTGAAACTGCTTTTGTCAACTTGTGTCAATACTCCTTATGAATACTTCAGTGTGTCGTAAGTTTTCGACAATGAGTTGTTCTCACCGAAAAACTGTTAAATTCTTTTTCAATGCTCAGTTTATCTTTCAAAAACAACTAATTTCTTGATTTAAAAAAAAAGTCGTGTCGTTTTCCCATGGAAATCAAAGCCAAAAGATCGCACTACATTATCGGTAAATCGCTTCCGGGTTTTGTTCACCATGAAGTCGGTGACCTGTCATTAACATATTTAAATGAACTAAGGTAATTTGAACACGTGGGCACCATCCAGCATTTTGATTGGTTAATTAGCGACTTGACCTACCCGGTCAAGTAATGTCTCGTGTGCATTCAAACTACATGGCGGATGTCGCATCGTTAGTTTACATGTGACCGAAATAATTCGCTTACAGTAAAACTAAGTTGAATTTTACTTGCATTTGATAACAATTCAACGAATATAATTTTCGTGCGTTGTTATAATCACTACTGAGTAATAATCAACAATTGTAACAGTTCGAAAACAAGTAAGTTATTCACTTGTGAGCCGAAGCATGGCCGGATTGCGTTACCGTACCCACGGTACCGTACTTTTTTAGTGCCGTACCATGATCATTTTCTACTATAAAGCAATACATTAATGTTTGTTTTTATTTGAAACTCCTATCGGAATATACATTCCGTTACGAAGAAAATTAAAAAAAATGCATATTAAAATTAAATATACGGAGTATTTTTTTTCATGTGAACAGTTTTGTGACGCGAGGCTTATCACTCTTTCCTGACATCTAAATTGGAGTTACGCTTATATTCAAAAGATTGTACGGTGTAGTGTTTGTTTTGTGCGAGTGATGTGGGGAAAAATGACCACGCCCATTTAGTGATTGCAATATGTCCCTAATATAAACCGCACCCCGAACTTGAGCTGTTGATCCCAATTTTTTATTTGATACATTGTAATATAAACCGTGGTTTATAATAGGATTTTAACGGTACTCTAAGCTTCTTATGGAGAATAAATTACACTGTTGCTGCTATCCATCGTATCAGACTATGTTAAACAGTCTACATAGAAAAGACAACATCAATTACTATTTGCAGAGGGAACGCCAAGAGCAATACTAAGCAACTGCACTGGAACTGAAATACTGCATCATGTACACAATTCATCTAAAACACAAAGCATACTTACAGCTGTAGCAACGAGAATGGGAGTTTGTCCAGTACGGAAACTACGTAGAGCTTCTTCGCGCTCTCTTTGCGAGCGATCACCATGAATACTTGTAGCACGATGACCATCTCGGTACAGGAAGTCCTCTAAAGAGTCGGCTCCTTTTTTAGTTTCCACAAACACCAGTGTCAGGGAATCAGAACCTGCATTCAAAAAGTCTATGTCACACACAATATGTGCACATTACAGAATATACCGACAATGGTTCAAAATTCACGAAAAGTTTTTAAAATAATATTTTGATATCAAATGAGCTTGAACAAAGACATTCTCGACTGGAAGAACAGCCACACATAGCAAACATCACAATCGTAGTTGTAAAGATATAAATACTTGGCCTTTAGCCTTTACTTACCTGTGGCAGATAAAAGATCCAACAAGAATGACCTTTTGTCATTCTCATCTACCCAAACTACTTTTTGTGTAATGTTTACACTGGTACTTCCAACACGGCCAACTGCCAAAAATATGTAATTATCCAGAAAATCACGGGCTAGAATCTACAGAAAGAAGTATTGAATGTCAGTCATTCATTCAGCAAACTACAAAGGCAAAGCACAGTACTTGGCATCAGAAGCAGAGAATTTATTAATATGCATATCTACTTTACACATCGAAAGCTAAAAACAAGCAGTCTCTCGGCTGAGATAGCTCCGCTGTTAGCAATGCACATTTCAATTAAGAACTAAAGATATCATTAGAAAATGAACAATATGTATAATATCAATGTAATCGGACTTTCCGTTTTTAACAAGAAGTCAAAAATATCACTTCTCACCAAAAATGACAAAAATATTCACCAAAATTAGATAATTGAAGATATCACCACGAAATTAACAAATCTGAAAGAGGTCAACATGTAGTACCTGTATATGTAATATAAAAACAATTGGACTTGCGGTTTTCAACAAGAATTCTAAAATATCACTTTTTACCAAAAATGACAAAAATATTAAGCAAAATTGAAGATATCATCATGAAATGAACAAATTTGAGAGTGGTCCACATGTAGTACCTATATATGTAATATCAAAGCAATTGGACTTGCGGTTTTTAACAAGAAGTCAAAAATATCACTTTTTACCAAAAATGACAAAAATATTCACCAAAATTAGAGAATTGATGATATCATCATGAAATGAACAAATTATCAATCAACTTGTATTTAAACAGTCAAAGAAATATTCTAACATAACCTGCAATCAATACATAAATGCCAACACTTGTGTTTGAAGGTGTCAAGCATTTTAAGTATAGAGCCATTGTTTTGTTAATTACCGGATTCGGCTGATACCCCGCCGTGGGCGATCTTATGGAGGATTCGATTTTTTTATAGAAAAATGTGGACCAAAAGATCGCCCGGGCGATCTTTTGGCAGATATTAAGAGGCCCATCTTGTCTAAAAAAAATAACCCTGCGTTGATAGAAATGGTCTAGAATAAATAATGTTTCGCGTTGACCAAATATAATCATGCAAAGTATAAATTCAAAGTGTTTTAATACATTGGTGA